TTAAATTTCTTTATGATTGAAGTAGGTAAATAATTTAAAGTTTGAATCTGTACTTTTAAACTGATTTTTATTTAATATACGTCTAACTAGTTTCGGCCCTTGGCCATCTTCAGAAACTATTATCTCTTTTTAATAAAGAATAAGATTTTCGGAAATTTATCCAGATGATTGTGAAGATAGTGTAACTTGATACTAATAATTGATACTCATAATTTGGTGCTTTATGAAATAATTTTTCCAAAACTTTTCCAAGCTTTACTTTCCGGAACAGTTGTAATTTTAATTAAATCTGTGTGTTTCATCAATTGCCGTATTTGAGGACCATCAAATATTCCACCTTTCAACTTTTTTACAAATGTAATTAAAACAATCTCCTTTCTTGTCCAACGCTTTTACAAATTGCTTTATCATTCCTAACTTAATATGTAATGGTGGAACTTCCGCTTATTACATTGGCTTTACCGACAATTAAAGAATTTCTTATAGGCCACATCTTGTTCCCAATGAAGTTGCTTTGCTCTACTGTCCCATATACAAATGAAGCAAGGGTATTTCGTGTATCCACTTTGTTAACCAAGTAAAAAATTAACCATTTTCAAATCGGGCATTGATGTTCGGAGTAATTAATTTCATATTCTTCTTTGAGTTTTGTTGACTGAGTAATTGGAATTGATGCAAATTTATTTCCATAGTGCAGTGAGACGCATTTTAAACTTCTTTCACAACTGTTAATAAAAAGGTGCCACCCAGTAGGTTTGTATTCTTTTAAACCCACGTCTAGAAGCAGCTTCGCGATATCATTACAGTACACCAGTCCTTTATTTTCACTAAAAAATTGTGATAAATCACTTTCCCGCGTTCTGTATGTTGTAATTGTTGGAGCAAATAAATTTTTTTCTTTCAATCTTGAGGCTATCAGTTGTGATCCTTGTTTTGATAAATTGAGATCACGTACTAAATCACTGAGTTGATTTTGAGAAAATAACTTCGGCGTAGATGTTTCACTTCCACTGGTAGAGTGTCCCGATTTCTGTGAATTTGGCAACATCATTGTTTCTGAGGGCATGCGAATTACTTTTGAAACGTAAATAAGCCGAGGGAGATTTTCACTGTTTAGAACAGAACATTTTGTAGACTGTCAGTCTGGATATCTCCACGTTGATTTCGATTAAAACCTTTAGCATCTACTACGCAAAAATAACAATCACCGAAATGATTCTTAGTCTCCATCCAGATCATAGGAATGCCAAAGTCTAATCCAGAACATTCTCCTTTTTTCCACAACGATTTATCTAGTTAATCATCAGTCTCCTCGACAAAGTCTGGTATATTTCTTTTTTGTTATATACACACTGCAAATATAACAAAATAAATCACTACTATATTTACACTTTCTTCGTAATTGAAACAAAATATTAACACATGACAACTTATCCAGATTCACGTGTAAGTACTTCAATATTGTCAATATTGAGATCTCAGCTGTTCTGCGGAGCAAGGGGTCACGTGATGTCTGTATGCGCGAAGAAGTTGCGCAGAAGCCTAATCATGACTGGGAAAATAAATTTTATTACTAACAAGCCGTTAATTGTTCAAAATATAAGATATGTAAAAATCATAAAAAATAAGAAACAAAAAAAAGAAACTAGTTAGACTTATATTAAATAAAAACCAGTTTAAAAGTACAAATTCAAACTTTAAATTATTTACTTTAATTCTTTTTAAAATAACAGGCTCATTAATCACGAATGTTTATCTTTTCTGAATTTCTTGAATGATATCTTAAAAACTGAAACCAACCCAATTTTTTTTAGTTTGACCTTTCATCCTTTACGAACATTATTTTCTTTGTTAATTATTCTGGTTATATTCAAGTTTTGAACGGTATCAATTGCAATACTTTTATTGTTTATTACTTCTTAGAATGATATCTTGGAAACTTAATCTAATCAAATCGTAGCCGTAATAACACCATTTGAGCTGATAAGCAAGAACAATTACAGCGCAATTCTTTTTCTTCAGACTGATATTTTTTTTGATTTCGATATTTATCGTATTGTTAATAAATTACTCATGTGTTATAATATTAGCAAATTTTGTAACCGCGTCTGTATTTATCGACACTTATCGTTATTAAAGGCTTAACAATGGATAATGACAAATCGATGTCGCTCCTCAATACGTACCAGGTTTGCAAATTGCAGTTAACAAATTGCTGTGAAGGAGGAGCAACAATCGTTGATCGTCAGTTATAGAAGTTGCCTACTATACAAGGCTAAATCGCGAGCGTTTCGTTCGATAAAATTCGGCGCGTTTCGAACAATACCGTTTGCGAACTCGCAATTCAGGAATGTAATATACTTTTTAGCAGATTTGCGGTGCTCGCTCTAGCGTGCGGTAACCGAATTAAATAAACGCGCCGGAGCTCATTCGAGTTTAAACAGAGCGGTATTTTTGAGTGCGCTCTATGGAGATTAATAAGGTGTTCACGGAGTTTAGTTGGGGTGAATGGGGTATGAGGTATTGTTGCGACATTGCACACGGCGGTGCACCTGTCGGCACCCACCTTGTCTCACATAGGGAGTCCCCGTGTTGGGGTCCTACTTTGTGAACCTTGGCAAGAAGTGCCGAGAGAGAAATTTCCACGTGTGTGCCGCACACCCAAAATTGGATGCGAAAGATACGTCGCTTTCCACTCACCACCGATAAGCTAAGAGAGTACAACCCCGCGCCCGTTACGGGCTTAGATTCCACCCCAGCTACAAATTATCCTAAACCCTTCATGGCTAAGGACCCACCTCGGGTATAAATTTAAAATACAACGTCAAGTGTCTTTCCCTCAAAAAAAAAAATAGAGTTAATAGAAGAATCTCTGCTTTTATATTATAAAAAGGGAGGGTGTGAATGTCTTAAAATGATATAGAAGCTGTTTTCGAAGAAGAGAAAAGATAAGCCCAATAGGAACCGCTATCGATGGAGTCGCATTCATTTTTCAAAATTAATTTCCTGCCTCGTATTCTTTAAAAAGGGACGAGACAGTGGAGTTAACCGCGCATTGTTTGGCGCGGGGCTAATATGAAAAACTGCGAGGGATGGGGTGGTGTGTCGACGACGAAAATTTAATTAAAATTCAATCAGAAATGTAACAAGATTCGGAGACCGCATTTATCGCCGGCGCCTTATCTGGAACGGCCGCGCCTAAGAAAACATTTTAAAATATTCAATTGTCACCGCCACCTTGCGACTACTGAACGATAATATAACGTTCTCAGATAAGCGTTTCGACGCCCACTGGTGGTTGCAAACGATGCTGGGCTCTCGTATTTCCTTATTGATAACATTTTATAATACCCTCAAATTATAAAAGACCTTAATGATTTTTCGATTTCTATGAGACCTCTTTATATTTCTTTCGTGGACATAAATACTTTGTAATCATAGTTTCTATTACGGTACTTTAAAAGATAATTGAGTGCTTTAAATTAATACTGCAACGTCTCTGCCTCTTGTATTTAAGTCGAGGTCACCTTCAGCCGAGGAGCTGCAATATGTGTTAACCAATCCTACATTCTCTCTCTGTCCTGATTTATGCATTATCTGTTAATCAGTATGAAATCCTTCATTCTCTCAACATTGCATTAAACACATCTTCAAACAGTTACGTTTCCGTGGTCATTTTTTCTTTCGATTTTAGAGACTTATTTAGGGATTAGTTTATCTGGAGATTTTTGTGGAAGGGCAGAGTTTCTTTGAATCGAAGGGAATCGGGCCGGCTGGGGATGTGATATCTCGAAGGATTCCGTTTCAATAACCTCGCCGGGTAATCCGTTTCTCGCAAGCAGCCCTTAATCTCGAGGTAACGTTCTTAATTTTCATTGGTGCCATTACGAAGATTGCGAGGTGGGCAAAGATAATCGGATCAAAAAAGAGGAGTCACTTAGGGACGTGATCTGGAGACGGAACCGGATTTGGTGCTCATCTCGCGGGCACATATCTCCGAGCCCCGGGGGATGGAAATTGAATAAGCCGTCGCGCAATGGACGTGACAGTATATTTTTTATCTTTAATTTAGCAGCCGGCTGATAAGTAGAGGCCCCGCTCCCCACCGTGGCGAGTGTACGTCCCGTTAGCGTTCCACGGAATAGATTACGCCCTCTATATCAGTATTTATTATTCATAACCGGGCAAACGTCTTGAGTTACGGCGGCCTCCGGACATAAAACATTTTTAAATGCCCTGCCTCCCTCTGAGATGATCTCATCACACTTTATCACAGTTTATTGTTTGCTTACGCCGCCGCGGCTTTTAGAATATTGGAGAAGTTACCGCGAACCGTACATTTCCATCTCAAAATCTTTTATATCATTAAATATACTTCATATCTTTATATATATAATATATATTTATAAAGATATTTTTTTGTGTATTTACATTTAAATGGCTTATTTGTTCCATCTTAGGAAAGCTTTCGATTCAACCCTCTGGATAGTCTTATGCTGAATTCGGATAATGAAGAAAATCCGATTTGGCCAATTAATAATGGCTGCCAAGTTAAAAACAAACGCCTGATCCTTCGGTTTATATTTTTAACGAAAATACCGAGTTCCTTCTTGGAGTCCGCTTTGTATTCTCACCCTTTCATTGTGAACTATTCACCGTCCAATGAAATGTCTCGATGCGTGGTGAAAAGACAACGTTTTACTCTATTTTAGGACGTCGCTATCAGCCGCCGCCCCCGACTTTGGCAACTCCTGTATCTGCCGGCCGATTCCTAACGGCCGTATTGACCAAGTTTAACAACGAAACTAGATCTGCAAGTCCTTATCTACGGGAAAATTGAATGGATATCCAAACAATTACGATCCGCACCTCGTTTGTTACTCTATTTCCTTGTTATCATCTTATCATAATAACTTTTAAATATCGATTAATTTTAATACTCACCTTCAATATTATCTTATTTTTGGATAGGTAAGCGAGTTAAATGAAAATTCAATAAATCCAGGGAGCAAAAAAATCAATATATTATGTACATATCTAATACAGATATTATAAATATTACCAAAAAAACATAGAATCTCATCAATATAAAAACCACTAAAAAATAATTAATGAAAATGGGTCGATAACATCGAACGAACGTTGAGGATAATTTAAACACTGACCGCTATATCTGTTAACGCCACTATCGCGTTTTACCATATTTTGATTATATATTGATACAACACAAATGGCTCCTCTACAACTCGTTATGCGCGGGGTTCGCTAAAAATATTCAACAGTGTCTTTGGCAAAATGGGAACGAAGACGATAAAGCTAAGTACGTGTCGATTGCACCAAGAGGGTTTCCAAATTCTATTCTTTTTCCGCGTGGTGATAGTGCGTTGCTGATTGACCTTCAAAAAGGGACATCTTCAGGCGTTTGCATTTGGCTCGACGGTTTTTGAACCAAAACTGTACATTCTTCGGTTCTAGCCGCGGAAACTTTTGTCTATACGCCATACAGTTGAGTTCTTCGGTGTATTTTAATATGAGATTATGCGAAGGATGAGTATTTAGCGAGAACCACTGTTCCAGACGTGGTACTTCCGTGACTGGGTCGATAAAAGTCCTGTTTCTCTTACGTCTTTCATCCGCTGTTAAAGCGGACATGTTTAAAGCGCTGGATCCTGGTGGAGAAGCGGCTGTGTGGGTTAATCCGGGAATGTATTGACTCATGTACATGATACTGTGGCTAAACATTGAGTTAGGTACTAATGGAAAACTAGCCGCGAGCCTTTCCAAGCCGTCGGGTCGGTGGAGAAGTTGTCCATCAACTTCAGGAGACGAACAGATCCTATGAGGACGTAATATTCCATCGTCGTGGAGTTCGTTGGGTTTATTGTCACTGTAATCGGTTTCGTCTTCATCGTCCGTCATTTTATTATTGTTTGATTGATTGCTCGGGGAATGATAATTCACTGGTTCATCTTTGGGTTCGGAAGAAGAGAGATTTTCTATCTAAAAAGAAAATATTTTTAAAACTAAAATTCTAAAACATACGCTTTGGCAAGTTTTCTTACCTTTATATCTGGAGTGGAAGGTCTCGGACTGTCTTTTCTATCGTTTGTAGTTAACGATAAAGGTCCGATAGGGCTACTAGGTTGTTCGTTAATATCTTCATCGTCCATATCAGATCCTGCATTCGAATATTCGTCGGATAAATGGGATAAATTCCTACGACTTAAATTTTGAATGCTATTTTTTATTCTTTGATCTTGCAATCGGTCCGAATTTAAATATCCGTCTCCAATTAAAAATCCGGAACCGTTCGTTGGTGAATGATTGCTGTAGCCGTTCATGGTTAAATGACATGGAGCGATGTTTCTTATTTCGGCTCTTTTTTGAGCTGCTCTGGCGTTCTTAAACCAGTACACTACGTTGTTAACATCCAGTGGCTTTCTGCCTTTGCGAGATTCCAAACTATTGAGCTCTTTGACGTATTGCTGGATTTGTTGTCTGCTTGGATGTTGATTATCTGCAAACCATCGTTGCAATTTGGGCAGCTCTAATTCCGGATCGAAACTTGTCCTCATACGCGTTTTCTGGGTAGGAAATTGGCTATGCACGCTTTGTATGGCGGGGTGTCCCACATCTGTCAACGTGGACTTCGACGGCACCGTTAATTGGTAATTAGAGGGGGCGTATTGGGATCTAGTGGGGGACTGGGGGCTGAACTGAGTAGCCCACCACTGATCGAATTTCCTTCTGGATTCTTCGGAAACTTCTGGTACGGGACCAGACGAACCGCGACAGATATGTGAAAGAATGTGCTACAACAAACGAATGAAATAAAGAATAAAAAAAATATTTAGACAAGAAATATTTAAGATACGTCGATTTAAGATACAAGTTCTTCTTTCAGAGATTCGCGGCGAGTTATGAATTTAAATTAAGATTTAGCTGTTTGGGTGAATTTGGTTAAACACAATGTTGACGACGCAGCTCGGATACGGCCGGGCCTACGGGATGTGGAAGGCTTTTGATCTCATTAATACCATGAAATAATGCTACATAATCTTATTAAAAGCGAGGTTACAGCTATTCTCTGCACCCTTAATACATTCGTTTCCCGGTATAATTCTTAAGACGCCGCCCCTCGTTGAGCGGGTAGCAACGGAAGAGGGGTTTTGCCGTAAATAATGCTCGGATTTGGGAAATATTACCTCGTCTAGAGGACAACCGGTCGACGTTAGCAGCGAGTGCGACTGCACCAGCAGGAACTTGAGCAGTTTGTCCTTGATATCACCGACGGCGCCAGGCCGACCCCTAAACACTTGAATCCTGAGCGTCGCGACGCTGGTCAACTCTCCGAGAATATCTCCGACGGTAACCAGAGGGTCCTCCGAAACCTGATCGAAGCTGAGCGCCTTCCAGTTCTTGATCACAACCGAACCTTTCGCAGCGGCCGCCGACTCCGAAGAATAACCCAAACGCATTAACGCCACCTGAACCAAATTATGAAACGGCGTTCCAACGGGAATTATCACGAAACTATCAATTTCGATCAACGGTCGGCGCCTCCATGGACCATGATGCAAGATTCTGCTGTCCTCCAAGGCGGCTATTGCCTCTACGACGCAATGGACCGGGAGGGATTTGGCTGGAACAGAGAAGATTTTTATAGAGCTATAAGGGGAGGAATAAAGTTAACAAATCTGTATTAGGGGTGAAATTATCTGTGAAATAAAGATGAGTAATTTAATAAATGACACGATAACTGTCACGGCAGAGGGCGTAAGCGGTGGGGTGGAGCCGATGGCTTTAACAGGTCGCTCCGCGGAATGATGAGCAGATAAACCGAGGAACAAACTGGTCGGAGAGCGAGAGGAGACGTTAGATCATCGCGATAGTACGGGGGCGAGGGCCGGGGCCGAATGCCGCCCCCGAGTTTAAATGGAACCGCGCCGGGCGGAAAAGTATGGAAGGCGATAAGAAAGACAGACAGATGTATTGATACCGCGAGCTGGAGATGACAGTTAATGTCTGGCTGAATCGAACTCTTGTTCATTTCCGCTTTACCGAGGTATACACAAAGTTATTTCTAAAGATTTTCGCCTTCGTATTCAAACCGCTTTGATTCTATCGAACCACCTCGCGGAAATATTTTCATTTTCTTAAAAACACTTTAATTTTCTCCTACGACGTTTTTATATTCCAAATAATAATTAATTATCGCACCCGACGTCATCATTGAAAGTATGCAACCAATATCACAGTATTGGTATTGCACACTGTATGTTTAGAAGACTTAAGAGAGTGTGTAAGATTGTTTAGAACAAAGAGATTCGAACGGACGGATAGGAGGGTGAGTAAAGGATGAGGAAACGTTCTAAGATGTAGTCGGTCTCGGGTAAAACGTAATCAAAGCGGCCAAAAGTGATATTAATAAAGGAAGGAACCTGGGTATTAGTTCCATTATTAAATAAGGCTGCATTATTGATCAACGGTGTGTTAAGGACAAAGGGTCGGAAGGCAATATGAGCCGGAGTTAAGACGCTGGTCAGCTGGGGTGGATTAGGGACCGTGGGATTAGCGAGTAGTGGACTATACACGGTAAGGTAAGCCAGCGGGATTAGGTCGACGCCGGGATTTCGGGATTCGAGCTCCCTTGCGGACGGCCGCATCTGCATCATAAGACCCGGGCCAAGACTCGGCCCACGGGCCGAGCCGTTCTAATAAAACAAAAATAAATCTGAGGATCTACGGCGTCTTAGAAATTTAGTGCGGGATGACGTCACGGCCCGGACCGCCTAAGCTGGGGTAATCCGCTTCCTTAACGAGATTAATGCCGCCGTTTAAAAAGTCCCCGCTCCGGGTCCGTTCCGAACTTCGTTTCAAGCACGTCGCCATCGAGTAAGTTCCGAGGCGGCCGAATGTCACCGCAATCAGGATTACGTCAACAACCGTTTCGAGCCTGTTTCATAGCCTGTCCGCGGAAAATCTTCCAGTTCATTGTTTTAAAGCGGTCGAGTTTTTGTTTAATCCCCCTAAGTATTAGTGAAGTACGGAGCTTTCGAAAAGCCTGCTCCTCTCTTCCGTCGTACTCGCTTTTCGGGCCTCTCCTATTTTCACGGCGTATATACTAAATATACATATATACGTATGGTACATAACTCCTCACCACTCCATGCGAAACCGTATTAGAGCCGGCACCCGGCGACGGATGGACCTAATCTTCGCATTTTCGCCTTCTGCAACGCCGCCTCGGATCCGTTTTCTTATTAGCTAAGCTCTGTTGGGCCAAAGTTTTAATTCGGCTAAAGTTATAGTGAAGACTGAAGACTCGCGACACACGCCCCTCGGGTTTCGGGGGCGCGAGGCTCGAGTTTACAGAGTGGCAAAGGTCCTCGAACCCACAATACTGTTTACAATAAGCCCTCTTTCCTCCGTGCTCTGCTTGCTCTAATGCGATTTTACGCCGGATTTGCCGTGGGGATTTGGACGAGGTGGTGCGTCTTCCAATCTCCTTCTGAAAGCCTTCACCTTCACTTTTACGGCCGGACTGACCCTGGAAAACCGCGCTTAATTACGGCCCCGTCGGTCATCCCTAACGCCATATCGCCCCGCCGGCTATCCTCGACCCTCGGATAAACCGTTTCACTCTTTCAACCATCCGACAACAGGTGGCTTCAAGCCAACGGGGTCGCGTATGCGAAAACAACTCGCCGAACTCGCCGGCCGCCCATTCGAACCCATTTACTTTACCCCCACAGCCCTTTTGGGAGCACGCTTCTAATCATTTCATTACAATTTCCTGCGGTTTCACCCCTATTAAATAATATCGTTTTTATATACGAAGCTAATTAAAATCGAAGATTTTAAAGAAATCCTGTGGGACGAAGATTAGTGAAGACCGTATAATTCTTCTGTTATGGTATCGGGTGAGGAGGGAAATGAGTAGGGTTGGAAGGCGGTGGGGGGAGTTAATTACGAAGAGATACATAAAGAGGAGGCACCGGTACAAACGAAATAAAGAACACTCAGCCGGATCTCGTGATAAATCTTTAGAATTCGACTCGGCCATTAAACCGCATTACGGAAGACAAAAGATAAGCGGATTTTTTGGGCAACAAGCCGTATAAATTAATAATCGCCCCCGTGGCCGGCGGGGCGCGCCTTTCGCCCGGGTTTAGGCGAACTTCGGCGTCGTGAAATATATCGCTTAATGAATATCAATGTATAACGGATGTGTCCTATCACGCGGCTGGTAATCCGAAGTCCCCCCCGTGTCCCCAACGTCCCGGCCGTCCGCGCGTTTATCTCCGTTTGCGTCGTCCCCCCTTTTGCATATTCGCTGTACATGCATCGGTATAATCCGGTAGTACGTGCTTATCTCGACAAAATCGTTCTTCCGCCGGCCATGGAGCGGTTCCAAATGCGATTTCTTTCGGTGCTTTCGGGAACAAGGGCGCAGGGTATTCTAATTGTACTCGGGTCGATTTGTTTCGAGATCCCTTTTCGTTTTGGTGCGATCGGGTGTCGTGGTTCAGGGGTCAAATTAACCCTGAACCGGTCGCGGGGCTGCTCGGAGAGTAGTGGGCCGTGCTTTTTCCTTCTCGCGTTTGATCCCCGGTGAATGTTAATCCCGCGTAGATATAATCCCCTACTTCCCGTCTCACTATGGACCTGGGCTCTAATCCTGGCTTCCCTTAATTCCTCGTACCTTCTACTAAATCCAGCTCGAAGCAGCCGCACCGCTTTGCCGTCCCGGTGAAATATCTGAGCGGCATATGGACGGGTGAGACAGAGAGAGAGTGACCAGCCTTCTGGGTCTCCGTACCTGTAGACTGCCGCCCCGATGTTTTCGGCCTGTATATTGGTATATTGGGATGCAACCGTTTCATCAATCATGACCAGATAATCTTCTTAACGCCATCCAATCCATTTCAATACTGCCGGGGAGCGCATTTTCGCTTCCTCTCTTCCCTCTCTACCTGCTCTGCTCTCAGAGTCACCCTTTACCAGCCTAACGAGCTCGTATTTCGCTATAAAAATCGTTTACGTATAATTAGGACAACAACATCCTCCAAAATTTCTCATATTTTTACTTAAATGCAATTTAAACAAAAATCTTTAATTATTCCTAAACGCAGTAGATAAATTAATTTTGTTTGTGTATAAACCATCTTTCTTTAGTCCACAATGTAAGGTAAGATTAGATTATGTTGAGCACATGCGATTAAATGCAAGTGCTAATGCGTTACAGGAAAACTCGATCGATATATCTATATTTAATAATAACGAATATTTATATATATATATATATATATTGACCTTGAATGTAATTTGGAAGGTCATATCAAGGTCATGATTGATTTTTTTGAACAAAAATAAATTTTTTGTTCTCTTCGATATCTTTTTACATCTTAATGTTTGATATAATTTATCCACAACACATTTTTCCAAATATCTTAAACACTATTTACAGTAGAACGCTGAAATTTGGTACTAATTCAATGTAATGTAAAATTGTTAGGCAATTTATGATTTGGATCGGTCCGCGGGAACAATTATTCTACACTTATCAAACTAAATTTACACAAATTTTAGGAAGACCCTGTATAGCATTGTTCCCGCGTACCGATCCAACTCAAAAATTGCCTAATGATTTTACGTGATATTAGTTTACACTGTACCAAATTTCAACGCTTTACCATACATAGTATTTAAGATATTTAGAAAAATGTGTTAAAATTTCCTAACTTTGATGGCCTGTATCTTTGCAATTTGAGGACTTTTACAAATTTTTTCCCCGAGTCACCGAAACACCCTGTATATATATTTTGCATGCATTGAAAAGTCATCTAAGAGATGACGTAGACAGTCTGCTTGGACTAACCTGTTAATATTTTTGCATCATAGAAAAATATACATATATTTTGCATGCATTGAAATGGCATCTAAGACTCTTGTAGTAACCGAAGGCGCGACTATTGGAGTGTTAAGAGTGGGTTATCACGAAATTTATAAACGATAATTACCTGCTCACAAGCCCGCCTTTATCTATTTTATAACTTTACTAGACAAGGGACTAAGTAATAAAAAAGCAAGATTTCGTTGAAGTACTAATACGACAAAGGAAGCCGACAAACAAAATACTTGTCGGCGCCTTAATCCTTTAAATTGATTTAAAATGTAACAAAAACTAAATTTTGCATAAAAGGTGCTTCTATCAATTTGCATGAAAGCAAAGTCATTAAATCATGGATACTCTAAGTATCGTAGATGTTGCTGGTGCCATAAATCTGCATCTTCTTGTTTCTTAACTTTGTTCAAAAGTTTTTTTTTGTATTTTGTATTATTATAATAATAATAATAGTTTTATTGAATAAGTATGATTATACATTATTCTCGTCAATAATATACAGTTCGTAAGACCCAAAATATTACATATCCTTCCATACAACCTAGTATTTATATATTAGGAAAGTTCTTGTCTGCAAGGTATTCCTCTTTTTCCAATAATATTCGTTTAACTGTCTGTTTGAACCTCTTGTTATTCGACTCTATTATTTTTAATGGCAATGCATTGTACAATTTGACCGATATATAGTTGAAAGTATTCTGGGATTTGTTTGATTCTGTGATATGGTATTAACAGACTGCTTCCGTCGTTCATGGCGCGTGTTGTAGATATGTAGATCTTCGTTCTTTGGCAATGTGTCTTTCTTCTTATGAACATTAACTAGGCAGATAAGTATGAAACAGCCTGGGATAGTTAGTTAAAAGTTATTTTGGATCTGCATTTAATTTCATTTTGTTCATGTCAAACCATTTTTTTGCATCGGCTAATGATGTTTGCGTTTTATTTTTAAGTTGCAGAATATCATTTCCTTGGTTGATAACAAACGTGTCATCTGCATAGAGACAAATACAAAGTGCCTTCACATTTTCTGGCAGATAGTTTATATATATCAGAAAAAGTATAGACCCAAGCACAAAACTCTCCCCACAGATTTCCATTCTGAGTGTATTCCTTTCCAATACACTTGTTGTTCTCTCTGATCCAGGTAAGAGGCTAATACATTATATGCAGTAGCTTTGAAGCCATATTTATGTAATTTTACTCTTCAAATTCTGTGGTGTACCATATCAAAAGCCTTGCTGAGATCACAAAAAAATTCTGTTGGTCAAAACCATCTGCTTTATTTATTTAGATAGAATATAATTCATGTGTGGTTCAACATCTTCATCGAATAATATTATCTATTTAATAAATTTGATGTAAATGAGAAATATTAATTTAGGGGTCAAATAGTGTATATATATATAACCTAAAAACCTTCTTTTAATTTGTGCTAAGTGATCGTTCTTGGCCAATTTCCGTTAAATGGTCTATCGTAGATTAGTAGATTACACAAGATTTAAGTAATCTGCCACAATTGCATTCCAATTAAATCTATCAGCAATTATATAAATTAAATCGTTATCAGAAGATAAAAACACGGCGGAACGGGGTGTAGTAACGTGTAGTAGTGGAAAAATCTCGACTGCTATTTAGTTAATTGTCGCGATAAAAATGAGAGGAGCCCTGGTTTCGGCGTTCTAACCTTGAGAGAACCCGAGCCCGGGACGCATAAGCTTGCGGATCAGAACCCGCGTTAATCTGGCGCCGCGCTCGACCATCACGAGCTCGCGCAAGAACTTATTGGACGACCATGGTCCGCGCTAATCGCGACAATATGGGGATTAAATCCTTCGAGGATTTAGTTTAGCCATCGGCGCGTGTTATCTGGCTTCGTCAGATTGGCTTTTCCGTCTTTGTGCTCGGAGTCAGGAGTCGACGTTTATCGAGTTAGACAAGAAATATAAAAAAAATAATGTTTGAAAATGATTACCTGAGTTTGATTTGGAGTTATCGAAGTCCTCCTTGACCGACGGTGGTGACACGGCGGCTTCGTTGGGGGTAGTAGAACGAGCGGGCGCGGGGGTAGGCGTCCTATCTGCGGAGTCCCGACCGGAAGTGGCGGGCGCGGCGGTGGCCGGGGGCGGCGTCTTGCTCCTGGTCAACGCCAGCGCCTGGCTCTGAAACGGCATCATACAAATCACGTCAGCTCACTGCCTCTTAAACGGGCACCAGTTTGTATTAATCTAGGTTAAGTGGGGTCAAAAAGCTTCTAAATTCCGAAGATGTAACCTTAATATCGGGCGCGTCTCGTCGGTCGCGGCGCGATAACCCCATCCTAATCCCGAACCTAACTGGCCTAATTTAAACAGTTAGTGCCAACAGCCTATTATTTCAATCGTCGAGTGGTTTCATTATTTTCAAAAACAAAACAAATATTATCGATAATTTGTTTTGCATTCAAGCTAAAATCGGTATTTGTATGAAATAGTTTTGAATAACGCTGAGACAAAAACGGACAGAAGTGGTTGCAGAATTGGACCTGTTGAGAGGAGCAATCGTAAATAATTCCCGGTAATTGCCAATCCACATTAAACCAGCGTGATTTATGTATTATTTCAGTGTCACTGCGTTAATTATTTAATTTAGCAGCGACGGCTATTTAAACAATTATTCAATTTGCGCCATCAGAACTAGGAGATCGCGCTAGTCAATTAGAAGGGGCCGCAATTAAATTGGCCTTTTTTTATCTTAATCTCCGAGGGTCGGCGCACACGGGGCTGCACAAAAGGATTGGAACGAAGCCGCGCATTTTCGACCCGCGGGTCGATGATCCTCATTCAGCATACTTCGGCAACTGCCCTCTCACTTTTTGCAAGCCGATTCGCAGAAGAGTTCCTTCTTCTGTCACTCATTGGCGGGACCGCTTTACCCTGCCAAAAAATGGACCAGATTCCTTGCGTCCGATACGCCGGTAGTCGGACCCCTTTATCATTTAACAAGCCTAATTTAACACCTGTAAGTCTTATTATCACGATCGACACAATTATCTTACCGACAACAATGATAAAAATTATATAAAATATTTTTTTGCCTTACTTTTCTAAAAGTATAAATAAGATTTAAGGATTTTGAGGAATTCTTTAAGGGCGCAGATGCGGACATGCGTATTATGATTACTCGAAATTCGCGGGATACCGATTGAATAAAGCGTGAAGAGTGTGGCTCGAACACATTAATTTATCATCGAAACCAGGAAGCTGCGGCCGGATTAGAGGTTTGTAACGCAAACTGCGATTTCAGATACTATCTCCAACATAAACAGCGGACGGCGAGCGTCAAAAGTAGCGATTGTTTGCGCGCGTCATTAGTGTAATTCGGCGTCGCCACCACCGGACGGGCGTACGTTCCAATTTTTGTCTGATATTCCTACGTACGCCCTGTTGCTTTTCAAACGGGGGGGAAACCGGAGCCACCAACTGTGACCGGAAGTCGACGACGTTTTTACCTGTCCCCCACCTGCCATTAAAAAAAAACTCCCTCGCATTGTAACGGTCGCGGGTCGAATCTAAATGCATTTTATTTCTAGAAACACCAATTACAGGATAAACTTAAAAACAACAAAAATTATATTTTATTATAACATTGAGTAGACGAGAGATACACAGTGGTGTGCATACGGTGGGTAGAAAGCAGCGGGGCTCGGTCAATTCTATTGATTATAGCTTTGCATTCAGTAGGGGCTAATCCCGGATAAATTTAATCCAAGATTAACCGTTATATAAATCGAATAGATCCGGATTTACGCTGCCATGGGTCGCGCAAAGCCCGGTGCTTCACCTACAACGAGCCGGTCGAAACTGAAATCCTCCCGCGCTACCCAATGTAAGAAAAAAGTACCGATATTTTGGATTCTTTCAAATTCGAATGGATGGAGTTCGCGTGATACGCGCTATTCTACTCCACGCTACGTCCAATGCTAATCCGAGTTAATCCCTTTTATTACGAAAGATGAGCGGTTTCGGACTACGCAACTCCTTTATCTATATAATTTTTACATCCTCGACACACATCATTATACAGATTTTCATTTACATATATTTTAATTTTTTTTTAATTTCTTTACAGTAATTTTTAAATTTTATATANTATATATATAAATAATTTATAATTTATATATATATATATATTTATATAAACTTTTTTGATTAAATGTGTTATTATATAAATTAAAAGTTTGTTGTATTTTAAAAAATTTAAAAAAAAGTTTTTAAAGTTGAGTCGAATTTTATATTAACGGTTTCTTGGGGTGAGTTTATGATAAGTTTGAATAAAAAATTAAAATTTGAGACAACTTAAAAATTTTTGAAATAATCTTGGGAAAAAATTGAAAAAAAGTACCTGGGAGCTGACATCGCTCAGCGGTGTCCCTTTGGCGTTGGCGGCGACCCAAGCTTCGGCGAAGGTCTCCATGGCACTTTGAAAGTCCATCGTCATTCAGCGCGTCATCGTCATTCAACTTGGTCGGTCGAACGTGCAACGTGTTCGGCGACGACGTCGTTCGGTTGAAAACGGCGGGACGCGTCCAGAGCACACGCCGTCCCGAGCACGACTGAGCGTCGTCGGTGCCGCCGCTCCGACGCTTCCGACGCCTCCGGTCCACCCCCCAGCATGCGCCTCGACGCCCGGCTCCCCTTTTTTTTTCCTAAAACGGCGCTTTCGGGTTTTCCGACGTTCGCGAAGGGGTTGAGCCACGCGAATTTTTAACCAACCCCGGATCCGAATGATTATCGACTTTTTAATTAATTAATTTTCGCACCCCGCCACGCTGCCGCCCCCGATATAGATAGACACAGATTTTGAATCTTAAGAAGATTTTAATACGATGTGGAATTCTTCGATTTAATATTTCGAGTTATATATTTTTTTCGTGTATCGGTTGATGGTGAAGGATGATGTTTTGAAGTGGCACGAGTTTGGACACTAAGATATTTTTTAATGTTATCTAAGAAACTACGTGGCGCTTGCGCGTCTCATGGAAAATCGCTGCCTCCGGAGAGGCGGGTCCAAAGATAGGCGTGCCTCTTGAAGGTATGTCCCACCACCACTTCGACAAAGGGTTTACGCGAATTTTCCCGTTCAACTGAAACGAACCAGAATGGTATATAGAATGAACACGCCGAATTTTACGTCAAACTCTTAACAGAACCGCCGGTTCCACTCTCCAAGATTCACCTCGGACGGGACCCAAGCCAAGGTTATAAAATCGAGATTATCCCCGGAGGTAGGTGGATTTCTACCTGACCTCAAAACAATCCATCAAAAAGTTAATGGCGCATCCAACTGAGCGTGGTTCGCCCGATCGCGGCGCGGCAGACGTCCACAAAAAAGGAATGTTTGTAGATATCCTCTTCAGCGATCTCCGCTTGATTGAAATCCACTTCGTCGGCTACTTCCACGTCACCAAATTAAACCACCAACTTTTATTTTTCAGACATTATAACTTTTCTTTACCAACTTAAACAAATATTTTAAGTATTTTCAACCTACACTTTTTTATCAATAAATTACAAACTTAATTAAATCTAACTTCCCAACTTCTAAACCTAGTACGAGTTATGATTTTACTTTATTAAGTAAAGTGATGGTCCTACAATTAATACTATATGATCCCAAAGCTGCCCAACACATTGCACTACTTCGGCCACAACCTCTATGAATCTGAATTCGTTTGGTAAAGCCGAGTTTGCTTCCGAGCCTCTACAATTAATAGTATATGATCCCTAAGATGGCCAACACATTCCACTGCTATGATCATCCCAACCCAAAACTATTTAATTCATAGTGTAATGCCTCGGAAGCAAATTATTTTAAGTTTAGCCTAGGCACTATACTATATCCAGAAATCCAGAAATATTGTATACATATATTGTATACGTGTGTATGGTAAAATCCTTCCCTCTGGTTGTTTGTTTATACTATACTATATGTTGAATAGTTTTGGGTTGGGTTGATATTATTTTAGATGTAGACATAAGCAACCTCAACTTAATCAGAATACAATTAATACAATATGATCAGCACACAGCCGAAACATTGCAATGTGTTGTGATGACAGTGTATGATTTTGTGTTATATGATCCAAAAGATGGCCAACACATTGCACTGCTTCAGCCACAAGCGAGCTCGTCTAATCATAAGATGGAGAATATATGAGTTCGTTTGGTAAACCCGACGTCCTTTGCTTCCGAGGGTCTAAAATTAATAGTATATGATACTAAAAATGGCCAACACATTCCACTGCTATGATCTGCAACAAAAACCTTGATAAATCCATCCCAACCCAAAACTGTTTAATACATGCTGTAATGCATCGGAAGCAAATTATTTTGAGTTTAGCCGAGGCACTATACTATATCCAAAAATCCAGAAATATACAGGTTGAAAGGAATAAAATACTTTATTATCATATTTACATGTAGATGTACATATATTTCATATTTACATATATTACAATTAATTGAATAGATTGGCAATTTTCTTGGAGCATAGCTTAAACGACTAGTTTTCGCTTAACCCATATTGAATTAGTCTTTTCTATAGCCATTGCTCTTTCTAATTTTTACCTAGGTGTTAACGCTGTACGCCGCTCTCTTGACAATTTGCTGGAAGGTATGGTCCGTCACTCCCAGCTGCTGAACGGCTTTTTTGAGGGTTTTGTGTTCCTCTCCCAAACCGCATACTGTAAAGATACCCAGCTACACAGGGCAATGATGTGCCACCCTTAATTCTTCTACTAGGTTTAAGTTGCGGGAGATTTGATCTACATTCTTGTGGTCCACCTCCATCACTGAGTTAATGCAGTATTTTGTTCGTTTTATTTTTTCCGCAATCCCCAAATTCTGGAGGTTTTCCTTTCTCTTTCCATTCTCTTGTTCGACGGACATGTATATGTCTGGTTTGTTGTGGTGTAGCTTTTTGTCCGTAATAATCTGTTGTCCTGCTCTTAGTGGGATTATTTTTTTACCCCATTTGTAGTCTGAGTTTATTGCCGCCTTGCCATATTGCAGCAACCTTACCACGATGAGAGTGTATGATTTTGTGTTATATGATCCAAAAGATGGCCAACACATTGTACTGCTTCAGCGACATCGGCTAATCATAAGATGGAGATTCTTGATAAATCCATACCAACCCAAAATTGCTTAATACATATTGTAATGCCTCGGAAGAAAATTGTTTTGAGTTTAGCCGAGGCACTATACTATAAGTTGATTAGTTTTGGGTTGGGTTGGTATTGTTTTAGATGTAGCCCTAAGCAACCTCAGCTTAATCAGAATACAATTAATACAATATGATCAGCACACAACATTGTATGATTTTGTGTTAGTATTTTTAATACCATATGATGCCAAAGGTGTTAGAGTAGTTTTTTACATTTTTGGGAACATTTTCATGCAGATTTAGACAAAATCAAAACAGTGGCAAAACCAAAGTCTTTGGGGAATAAAATTAGAATACTATTTAGATTATGGGAATATTGTGTGCAGAAATCTAATTTGTCAGAATTTAGCATAAACATAATTTTCTGTAACTCCATAAACAAAATGATGAAAATTTTCAAAAATATTTTCAATTTAATGCAGTATAAATATTGAATGAAGGAAAATTTCGAAATCTAATAAAAGTTAAGATTTGTAAATAAATATTTGATTTTATAATACCACTTGATACTTTATTTGAAGTTTAAGTTAAATATACCTATATATCTATTTTTTAATTAAAAATCTCTTGTTATGTTTTTAAGAGTCGGAAGTACCATCTTTCTGATATGCCTAGAACGAAAAAATGCTGATGTCACAGTTTGGCAGAAAAGTATTTTTTAAGTACTTTTTAAATCGATTGTAAAGGATTGTGTGTGTAAAAGCAATTATAATCGTTTTAAAAATAAATAAAAATTGAGAGATTGTAGTATGAACGAAGGGCGTCACTTAATGGCTTATATTAAACCTGTAATTTTTAATCGAATACGAAAAGAAAACGTAATCTGATTGGATATCGTTCCAAATTCGATTGGCAGATAGGGACAAAGTAAACACTAGACGTTGAGATTATTTTACGAATTAGTCTCTTTGATCGGTTACCGACTGATGATGTAGATCTAGATTTTAATGTATTAATCACGCCATTAACAACATTATCACACGTATTACACAAAACGTTTTTTTTAACTATATATAGTAATATTGTATTTAGGATGATACTCGACGCACAACAATTAGCAATCATTATCCGAACAATTTAGTTGATTCGCGAAATTGGGTTAAATTATTATTCGGTAATTAGCTGTTTATCTACTAATTATCGGGAGAGAGATCACGTTGGATAAGTTTTTTTAAAACGATTCGCCGAATTTGTTCGCCGTGTAGCAAATATTGATTTTCGTCCAAGAACGGTAGTTGCAGCTTTCGTCAGGGTTCTCTCCTTGCTGACTTCAGACGGAAACCGTCTCTCGCTACTAATAATAATAATATGTATTCATTATTCATTTTAATGAGCTAATATAGCGTATTATTCTATTGGGCACTTTGACTACAGCACTGTATCCGTTAAGCGGATTTTCTTTAAGTAAACGCATCTGGAAATTGGTCGCAAAAACATTTCCTTTACTACCTGTTTCTTCCTAAGAGTCAGACACTCGACAATTTTTTTTAATTTATCCTTCAAATACGAAGCATGATTTTGTTTCTTATGAACATGTTTTTTCGGTTAATTGTTTTTGTAGATAGGAGACTTTTTAGATATCGTATTGGTAGTCGGCTGAGAGCGAGGTAGTTAAGTGGTGTAATTGTGAGTGTTGGTTGAAAAGGAAAAGTTGGAGGCGTTTGTGAGCGTTTCGCAAGCGCTTATCGCTTTAAAACGTTAAATTTTCAGTAAACTCCGACAAGCAACAAAAGTGCATCATCACAATAATTGTAGATAAGAATATCCAAGCTCCACTCAGAGGTTACATTTAATTAATTAAAGCGTGTTGTATTAGCTGCTGGTTTTCAGTAAATCTGTGCCAGACAATCGTGGCGATAAGATAGATACCCGAAATCTTGTTAGTGCGCTTGTAGAAAAATACTTTTGTTGTACCGCCCGAGATAAACGTATTTGCTCAGATTATAGATAAAAATCTTACCGTAATATAAAGGTGCTTTATATTACGTAGATCCAAAAATGACACTTTTCTTAATTTCTTAATAAACCAACACTTTTCATACCCTAAACTGCGTCCTATTTCCTTATAGACGAGGATCTCGTCTTCACAAAGGGCAGTGAACGAATAAGTAATTGAGTTCTAACTCCTAATGCCGCGCCTCGAGGTAAGTACCAAGTAATATACTTAGGCTATGGAGTTAATTGTTGCATATAGCGTCGTCTTCTCCGGGCCTATAGCTCTTTGTGAGCTACTTCGGACATTATTATTGGGGGCTAATGGATTTTAA